TGTGTGTGTGTGTGTGTGTGTGTGTGTGTGTGTGAAATAAATAAGAAAAAAAAATTTAAAAATTAAATGTAAAAATTAAAAACATCAATAATAAATTATTCATAAATAAATAACATTTTATATGATTTTCCAATGACTTTTCAACATGTAATTACTTTCACTGACCTTTTCCATCGCTGGAAATCATAATATAACATTTTTAATGGAACTCCACAACATGTTGCAATGATCATGTACATTTTGTAATTGTGCTCCACATGCATATTAAACATCAAATACACTTGAATGTCCAATATGGTCTCTGTCCCTTTAAGAAATGAACTCAATATCCTGCTGCATTCCTAGAACTGAGCAAGGTTATTGATTTTCTCAGGGGAATTCAGGGGAAGTGTTATTGTGGATATATTAACTGATGCAGTTCATCTGATCTATGCATTACTTCTAAAATAAATCAATGGTACCCAAAGGAAAGCTGAATGGATGGTAGTGGTTTTATCTCAACATACCACCAGTCGGTGATAAAGATCTCCTCCTCCGCCTCCTCCAGCGCATTCGCCACGTCCTCCATGTACTGCTTCCCATTCACATACCTGAAACACACACCAGTCAGTCAAATCAATGGGTAAGGCTGATAGTCTCAAGCTCACACTCTCACTGTTTCTCAAACTTAATTACATAATTTTCATTATTCAGAGAACAAGCATGCTGATAGGGCTTAATGCTGCAACAATGAACAACAAATCATCTGCCCAGACCAGAAGTGAAGCTGCAGCCCTAGATACTATCGCACTCCTCCACGGGGTCAAAAGAGGATGGAGTCTATGGTTACACTTTCCCTCTCATTCTCTCAAGTTACTCCTGTGAAACAGGCCTCACCCGAAGACACAGCGGCAGACGGCTGAAGCTTTCACATGTTTATCTGTTCTGGGAAACCTTTGAGACCTGCTTCTGCTAGCTGCATTATTGATTTTTCGGAATGGTTTTGAAATATATTAGCTGAAAACAAATAATAAATTAACATAATACACAAAACAATATAATAGCTAACATAATTTAATATAAAACTAAAGCTAAAAGTTATACTTTTCCCCCCCAAGAAATAATTTAATCAGTAATATAATATAATATATGATTGAATAGATACATATATAGCTAATATATTATAATTTGATAAAAAACCTAAGCTGAAAGTTAGCTAAAATTAAGTTTTAATAATTGAAGTTTTCATAAACTAAAAGTTTTAAACTAAAAGTTAGCTTTAGTGTGCTTCATAAAACCCAAATTATCCTTTTTTTCAAGAAACAAATAATAATACTAAAGCTAAAATTTAGCTAGGATTTTACATTTTCTGAAGAAAATGTGAGTGGCTCCTGTCTGTAAAAGGTTTTATGGGAGGTTGCCAGGGTATTGCTAGGTGGTAGCTTATTGGCAAAAGTCAAAAGTACCCACCTCAAAGCATTTATGATATGAAATGACCTTTTCAGTCATCGGATGCATGTAAAAAGCAATATTTACCATTTAGATGGGATGTTCTTCTGTTCATTGGCGAAGGAACCAAAGCGGTGACCCTTAAGGAAATTGCTGCCGTATTTGCGCACAAAATCATCGATGGCCTGCCCCCACCAGCGGGCGTGACGGTAACTTGTGAACTTCAGCACCAGAGTCCTTCAAAAAGCAAAAAGCTCTTTCACTTTATCAAAAAAATGATGGTGCATGTCAACTGCATATTGCCTTAATGACCATGTGAGTTCACACACCTGGACAGACTGTCTATGCGGACACCATGCTTCGTCTCAGTGTCTTTAGTGTCCATTTTGATGCCGAAAGCCTTATCCACTAGCAGGACGAATGAGATGGCACCTGTGTCTGGCTTCATGAGGACAAGGAAAGAGTCCTTCACCACCATCCACCTGTAAAGACCAACAGTAAGAAAAAAGATGATTTTCTTTACTTGAAAATCATCTTACTGAATTTTAAACCAGGGTAAGTCACATGGTGATTGTTTTGTGATCCTGTATAGTTTGAATATGAATGACACCAAACTGACCGTTTGGACCAGCGGTAGCACATTTTGCTGTGGCCACAGCAGTTCAGTCCAGGAATACGGTGACCCCCTGACCTTTTGAGAACAATGCCCTCCCTGGGAAGGAAAATGTCACAAAATGCAATAATATATCTATAAATAATTATTAAAACTTCATTGGCTTCATAGCTAATAAACAAAGACTCTTACAAGCCTTTTGGTCCCAAATCATGAATGAAGGACAGCTGACTCACATCAATGAATTCCATCTATGGCACAAAACAGGACAGGTTGTAAATGCATGTAATTCAAGAAACAACATACGGACTGATATACTGTACAAAATCCAAATATACACATACTGTTGCATGGTAGTTTCTATACAATGGCATTTTAAGCAGCTTATTCAAGTAGTCTTCAAGTTGTCTCTGTAAAGGAAATCACACTAGTCAGACACCAATCATATGAAGTTGTCAGTAGTGCATCAGTGAAACAGGAAACTGACTTTTCGACTGGACACTTGCTCTTCCCTGGCCAGTTCTTCGCCTCCTCCCCGGGGTAGACTTGGCATGTTTCGCTCAAGGTTCCTGTTAATAGTGTGCCTCCGCTCTGCATGACTATTGACCGAAAGAAAAAAAAATGGCAAAGACAGAGGAAGAGATCTTAAGATTGCCACAAGACAGCAAGGATGCATTAAATTGATTTAAAAAAAACAGTAAAGACATTTATAAAGTTACAAAATACTTCTAGATCAAATAAATTATGTTCCTTTGAACATTGATAATAAGAAATGTTTCGTGAGCACCACATCATCATATTACAATGATTTCTGAAGGATCATGTGACACTGAAGACTGGAGTAATGATGCAGAAAATTCAGCTTTGCCTTCACAGGTATAAATTACAGTTTAAAATACAAAACATTTATTTTAAATTGCAATATTTCACAATATCAATGTTTTTATTACTGTATTTTTATCAAATAAATACAGCCTTGGTGAGCATAAGAGA